TATTGACTCAGTGACGAGGGCACTGCAAACAAAACATCAGTCTTATAATGAGCTGTTCCATATACATTCTCATGTATGGATGTTTACAGTGGAACAACAACAGCCCAGCACAATGGAGGAGAGACTGCATCAAATTTCTCCTGTAATTTTTTAAAGGAGATTTATTGTACAAGAAAAGTATCCAATACTTTCCACAGTTAAACACCCACCCAGCACTTTAAGAAACCTTTTATGTCCAGAGAAACCTGAGGGCCTCATTTGTATGTTTTGTTGGACCTCCTGAACACAATGGGAAATGGAAGCAAAGGTCAGTGTTAAGTCTCCCCTGGCTTTTGTTCTTTAAACAACAATATTGTATTGATCTGTCCTGAATGATAAACACAAATGTGTTGGTAAAACACAGTCTCTTTTGACCTTTAGCAATTACTTCTACATGGCTTTAGCAGTACTGTAGATGAAAAAAACAATGTCCAACTCATTTTCTTTGGGGTTTTTTTTCTTATTTTTGCGTGTAACTATACCCACATCTTACTCAAGTACACCTGGCTTACATAACCAAAGATTTTAGTTACATTTCACAGATGTTTACAATGTGGTAATCACAGTCAACACATCACGACTACACGATGCTGTGGCATTGCTATAGTAGACTTACAAGATTTGACTCGGAAATAATGTTTCAACCATATGGGAGCAACTTAAAATTTTGAATATGCTTTTGACCTTTTATTACTTGTTGATGGGTGTTTTGCCAAACCTCATACCCATAAGGAATATCAAGTGTGCATCCCCTAATGAGATGACGAAATGTCTTAAAGTCGTGAATATTGGGTCTTTGTTTCCACCATTCCAATTCCATCAAGCTGCCTAACTATCCTCAGTTCTATGAACAAGTGTGCTACTGCTGTAATATAAGATATCCCATGAACACAATGGGATTAAACCAGGCTATAAATAAAAATCACAATTTGGCCTCATAATAGACAGCGAACGACTCAGATGGCTGCTTATAGAATCTCAGTTATCTGGTGGTGAACTTAACTGAGTCTAAGTTGTCTGACAGAGGTGAAGTGTGTTGTGAAGACCCACGATTAGACCCTCTTGACCTTTCCTCTGACCTTTAGAGAGTGTGACTTTTTTGGGGCGCTACAACCACTGGTAAGTATAGTAATGTAATCAAGTAAGCTAAACTCCAATTTTGGAAATCTCTCTATACTTTTTTTTCTGCTAGTTGAAGAGAACATAGAACTCTGTAGACAAATAGAAAGCTATCTAATTGTCCTTTTGTGTGAGTTTAGAATCATTTTAGAATACTTTTATGCATCTAAGCATATCATATGAAAAAGAGTAGTTGAGACGGGATATCATTTTTCTATCTATAACATACACACTCAAAGTTTAGTCCGTCAGACTGAGATGGCTGAGATGGTGAAAAGCGATGCCCCTCAGGCTGAAACCTCTTGACCTGCAGAACCACTGCAGGGAAGTGATGATAGAGGCCTGATAGGGGCCAGTCACTGGGGCCTAAAGGCACATCCTGGACATGTCCTTTTGGCAGTAGGGCTCTGAACATAGCCAGAAATATACACACATGATCACACACACACACACACACACACACACACACACACACACACACACACACACACACACACACACACACACACACAGACCATATCTCCAAGCAGTGGAGGAAGAATAAGAGAAGGCACTTCAGATTTAAAAGTAGAGGGGTAAATATTCTGCACCTCATCCTGACAGCTTTGGCAGGGCGTCCTGGTGGCTGGTGACTGATGACGAGAAAGATGCAACTCTCACTCATCAAAAACACGGAACTCTTATCGTCTCTACTCTGCTTGGGTTATTACTCTGTATTATATCAATATATTCATTTGCTAAGATCAGCCGTGCCAAGAATTCACATAAACTGACATTTAGATGTAATTTAAACTTCAGAAGAAAAAAAAAAAAAAATAGAAGAAAAAATGTTTTTGAAATGATATGATTACACACCTAAGGGCTATTTTGTTTATCGTGGCTATGAATTTATATTTTCTAATAATAATGTGCTTCATTTTAATTGGAATAAAAGGCCATTCCATTGATTCTTGAAAGGGGGCGTTCAGGCCATAACAGCATTAAGCCTTCTGCTTCTGTGTGTGTGTGTGTGTGTGTGTGTGTGTGTGTGTTTGTGTGTGGTCCCTCTACACTGCTCCTTGTGTGAGGTCATGCTTCAAATTTTCATTTAAGTTTTGATCACATTACGGCTATTCTCACCATATTAACGTTAGTCAATGAATAGATTAAATATTCAATTAAGCCTGTGTGTTTGTGTGTGTGCAGCAAGCATTCGAACGGGATTGCGTGTGTGAGTTTTGAGTGTGTGTATGTTGATGTGTAATGATGTGTAAATATATTTATGGCTCAGGGTCACTGTGGTATTAACCTGACCCAGACTCCCTCTCTCTCTCTCTCTCTGGGGAAGCTTCATGCTGCTGATTGTTCTGTGTTTCAGCTTTTGTGGGCCTTCGACCACTAGGAACACAGGAGAATGTGTGTTTGACAGGATGCTAGCTGGAAGAAAAAAAAAAAAGTAAAGAAAGATGGAATAAAACGTTTAGGATATCATGTGAACCACTGTGGAAAAAACTTATCTTCAGACAATCGTGTTGCACAGGACTAGTGGTTTAGAAAGTGAGATAAAGCTTTGTATGAATCCCTTGACTCAGCTACCTCACAGAAGGACTACATACTGCGCTTACTTACGTGCTGCTTTTACCAAGTGGGGAAGGTATTCAGTTAAATGTCCCATCAATCAGGCATATGCCAAAGGCTTACATCTTATTCAAGTTTTAAACCTCTAATTGGTAACGTTTAAAAGGCGTTTAAGAGTGCCCTTTCTTCTCCCTTTTCTCATTTCCCATTTAATGTGTTGTGTCAAAGTCTATTACCTCAGTTGGACGTTTCTGTCCCTTAAGTTGAAAAAAAAAAAGAAAAGAAAAGGGAGGGGGTGAGACAGAGAGAGTGAGAGAGTGAGAAGAGAGAGAGAGTGAGAAGAGAGAGAGAGAGAGAGAGAGAGAGAGAGAGAGAGAGAGAGAGAGAGAGAGAGAGAGGTAGGGGGAGAAAAAAAAGAGAAGCCATCAGCTGAGGTTTGCCAGGTCGATAAAGCTTTTAGATTTGGAGATGTTTTCAGGGGGAGCCCATTTCCTGCGGCTAAGAGTTGTTAATGGAGCTTAAGGAATTATCTTATGACTCTCGCTTTGAGAGCAGTTTATTTCAGCCCGGACCCTGCTCCATGTGTCGGGAGTGGCTGAATATGCTGCTGTCAAACCCGCTTAATGAAAAGTAACGCGTCGCTGATTACAGTTTTATTTGGTCTCTATGTAAAAAGCCCCTGTTAATTTACCATCTCGCTCCCTCTGTGTGTTCGTATTTGCCACGGCTGAATGATTTAGTTATAGCTGGCTTCTCTCTCTCTCTTCTCTCTCTCTCTCTCTCTCTCTCTCTCTCTCTCTCTCTCTCTCTCTCTCTTTCCACTTCTACACACACTCCCTCTCTCTCTCTCACTCCATGTCCCTTTCTCTCAAATACAAAGCCACTTGGTTCGCAGGTCTAATAAAAATCTGTCTTCATGCTAAATTAATTAAACGTCGAGGCTATATTGTCTTATCTGTGGGGACTTTAACCCTGGCCTAATTTTTCTATCAGTAGCCATGCAAAATTAAATACACAATTTTGCATGTAGGCTAATAAACATGCCCACATTAAGGGCAATGCGAATTAGAAATACCCCCCTATAAAAATAAGTGCCTATTAACTCTTCATGTACTTGTCAGAAATCTATTCCCTGACAAAGTTTATGTCTCTCCGCCAATTTATTTTGCGGTCATGTCAACTTTGCTTTAGAAAATGCTGCAGGCAAGGTTTATTTTCCCCGAGCTAAGAAAGCAAATAAAAACATACATCCCGACTCCGATTTATAGAAAATCCCTTTTGTAAACCGTAGCACTTTCTTCCAAGAAGGGGGGAGATGTGCCTTTCCCCATTAAAATTCATCACCGAAGCCTCCCCCCTCTCCCTCCCTCCCATTTTCCCCCTCTCTCAGGACAGACTGAGTCCCTCGAGAGCTCCACTTTCGCCATTACTGTCAAGTACCCTTGACTCCTTTCTTTTTGCCCTTTTATCTACAACAACTAATTCGAGTTCCTTTGCCCTTTTCACTTTTAGACGACGTGAGTGCCTCTCTCTCTCTCTCTCTCTCTCTCTCTCTCTCTCTCTCTCTCTCTCTCTCCCTCCCTCGCAAAGCCCTCTCACTTTTCAGAATCGGAATCAGCATCCAGGCTGTATTTTTCTGCAGGGGCCCCCGTCTCGGGTTGAAATTGAGGGGTTAGTGTCAAAACGAAAACTCTTCACTTCAAATAATTTCGCAGGGGCCCTCCGTTTTGAACCCATTAATACACGTATGGCGAATAACTTACCCTTTTGACAGCTGCATCAAGGGCGATGTTGAGATGTTTCGATAATATTATCAGAGGGCAGAGAGGGGAAATCAATCGCCTGACATGAAATATGACTGCGAACATCCCAATTACAGCCTGTTTAGAGGGAATTAATGAGGCAGATCTTAGATACTGATATTGTTCTGTCTTGAGGGTTGAGATGCCTCATTTTCTCGCTGTCACTAAATGAGAGTGGATGTTTTCTGAAGAATAACACATGGTGGGAAGTGTTAGATTGCGGCCGCTTTAATGGGTTAAGAATGAGTTGGGATGAGAAAAAAGCTGCTTATTTAGCAGTAGATTGCGTTTAAAAAGGGGCCCTCTATGCTCAGCCGTGTAGTAGGCCCCAATGTGTCTTGGTTATAAAGGACTGGGCAGAGTTTTACATGGATGGAAATAAATAAATAAAAACCTGCAAAAGAACAAGGAAGAGGGCTGTCCTGTATTTCAGCACCATGGACAGCAACTCCTACTGCTATGAACCCAAAACCACAGGCGCTCTTCAGAAACCGACTGCATTTTATTTTCAGTGAACAAAGTTGAGACGCTCTCGCCCACTTCTTGGGAGAGCTGTGCATTTGTGAGAGTTTTTTTTTTTTTTTTTCTTTTCTTTTAATAGTGATACTCAACTGCTGAGACCTAAATAATATTCAATTACATTTGCATGCGCATAGTAAAGAAAGAAGTAAAAAAAAAAAAATCATGTAAACCTTAGGCCTATTTTTTTTTTCCCCCAATATGTAAACTTTTAGTTATACATTTCGATACGTTTTGTGCGTGCGTTAAATCAAACAAGTCAAACCGATCCGGATATTTCACTTGTGTAACGCCAATGTAACAGTATATAGCTACCATTGCTTTTTTTAAAAAAAACCAAAAAAAACCGAATGAAACTTAATGAGGGAATCATGGAGACGAAATAGGCTTTTCCATCCTACTTTCAGTCAGTCACACAAAGAGTCTCTCTCTTTCTGCAATAAAAGGGTCATTTGGTTTTGTTAGGAGCAGAAAAGTTTGTTGATAGTTTTTGGGAAAGTCATGGCACTGTCTTTGGAGGAGTCGTGATGCTGCTGCTGCTGCTGCTGCTGCAAGGCCGCCGAGCTCCTCTCAGCCTCCAGAATGGCGCCTTTGGTGTTCGTGGTCCAAGAGACGGTGGTGTTGGTCAGAGCCTGGCTCAAAGTGCTGTGCCTGAACAAGGGGTCGTGGAAAACCCCGTCCACCCAGTTTCTCAGGGTCGTGACCGGCGAGTCCTGCCTGTTGTCCAGGCCGGTCACGGGTGAGGTAGCGGCGGGGGATGGGCTGAGGGAGGAGGGCGGCGGCTGGCACCTCAGCATGCAGGACGGGTACTCAGTCTGGTTCAGGGACGTCGCAGTTTGGGCCAAAGACCAGATCCGAGGTTTTCCGTCTAATATCTGGTGCCCTTGCTGCTGCTGCTGCTGCTGCTGTTGGTTATAGCATGCTTTCACCTGCTGTCTGCTGTCCGCTTGGAAATCCTCCGGGTTCGTTTTGAGACAGCCTTTGCTCAAGTCCTGCTCCCCTCCCAGAGAAACAGGGATGGAGATTTTCAGAGACGAGTCCTTGATGAGGTGTTCGCTGGGGCAGTCGCCCGTCGTGGACATGTGTGTGTTCATGTGGTATCGGTGCTTCAGCTCACACTCCGAGTTCTCAGACTCCAGCGTGTCGAAATCCTCCAAGTCGCTCAGCTGGAGGTCTTTATCAGGCCGACTTCTGGTCTCTGGGAGGAAGAGAACAGAGAGGAGAGAGCAGACATGTCAGTGGAAGATGTGGCTTCAGATCTGACTCTGGAGTCAAGAGTTGGAATCACACGGGTAAAATTACAGTTGTTGGAGTTGAATCAAGGGAGTCATGTTTAGTGCCTGATGGTGGCAAATAAATATCCAGCCGGTGACCGTCATGAGGAAAACCTTTTTTTTCAAACAATCAGTCTCATCATAAATCAATTTCCCCCAAAATACTGCAATTTATGAACGACTTCAAATATTAACTTAATGAATTTAAGCCTATCAGAAATGTTAAGTCATGATCAGCTCAAAAAGTTGAAAAAACAATTAACATTAAAAAGGAACCTAAGCTTAGTTTGATCCATTATATCCATGTGTGAAACTAACAGAGGCCTGTCCAGAGCTTAACGTTTGTTATGATGACCAAAGTCATCATACTCTGCTGATGTAGTTCCATTTTCAAAAATACAAATAAATAAAATTGTTTTAACACAGCGCACATTCAAATAATACAATGTTGAACTAAACAAATTGTAAGGCCTCTTTGTCCTTGGTTACTTATTATCAGTATGATGCAGTTTCTAACAATAACAGCATCATACAAATAATTTTCTTTTTTAATTATGGCTATTTAAAATAAAATACGATGTAAGACTTATGGGGTTCTAGAGAATCAAATCACTCATAGTGTATTTTATCAAATCTCATTCCAATGAGACATTTTTTTAACAAAAGAAACCAGTTTATAGCGTATCTGATGAGAGCAGATTTAAGTTTTCAGTATCTGTGCTAGGAGTGCGATCATTGATGTTGTTCTCTTAGTTGTTCTTCAGCGCTTATACTGATTCATCCTGATCACTCCACGTGAATAACTGTGAGAGTAATAATGTAAGAAACAGTTGCTAAAACTGGTTATTTACACATGCTCTCATTCCAAGCTAGAGTTAAAAGAATGGTTAAGAATGTTTCCATTTCAAAAAAGTGCCATTATCGCAAGCACAAAGACACTCACACACAAAGAGCAGATGTCATGAATACATAGTTTTTCAAACATGCTTTTGAGACAAAAGACACCTGTAATATACTTTAAACAATTTAGCATAAAGCTTTATAGTCTTTATTTCTACAGAACAACAAGGCATTGTGACACTAACCATCCTCATTGTTCTCGCTTTTTATCTGCTCCTCCTGAGACCCATCCTCATCCTCATCATATCTCTTCTCCTCTGAGCCCTTGTTTCTGGGCGGCCATGTCATCTTGTTCTCCTTCTTGAGCCTCCTCCTGGCATTTGCGAACCAGGTGGAGACCTGCGTCAGGGTCATCTTGGTGATGATGGCCAGCATGATCTTCTCCCCTTTAGTTGGATACGGGTTCTTCCTGTGCTCCTGCAGCCAGGCCTTCAGCGTGCTGGTTGTCTCACGTGTGGCGTTCTTCCGCCTTGTTCCCCCATCCATGGAACCATATCTGTTAATGAGAAGAACACAAACACAATGTTCACAAGAAAGTAAACATAATACGTGATGCTTGTTGCATGACAATTTCGAATGTGCTGTCCTGGCAGTTTCTCTCCTGAAAACCATGACAGAGCCATCTGCTTCCTAGAATCTTCTTAAATTTATGCATAACGTGCACTATAAGCTTGACAGTCCCACTCATAAACCTCTCTGCTGCTAGAGTTGTGTTAAGATCTGCATATTAAAAGTAGACATCGCAAACGAATGTCAGTTAAGAGACATAATATAGAAAGTACAGGAGAGGGGCAGGTAAGGACTAAACCAGCCCCCTTTAAACATACCATACAGTATGTATTGTTGATATAAGCATTGGACCTGCTAGGATCATGGGCAGTATAGTGTTCAAGACGGAAGACAGGGGTGACTTTCTTGTACTTAACTTCCCTGAAACCCCTCCGACAATACCTCTGCAGCGTCTAAACTGTTATCCAAAGTAAATCTGCTATCAGTATCTTTTGGAAATATACAAATTATTCTACCAAGTAAACTGTTTTGCCAGTAATAATGACAAGTGTATCTGGACTGCTGTATACAGATATATATTTTCCAGTGTCAAGGTTTTAAAACAATTCTTAGCGCAGTTTACGACTCCCTCCCTAACCTCTCCAACCATAGACCTACATTTAAAATGCACGGTGTTGATTTTCAGTCAGCAGTGAGCTGTAAAAGTCCTCTCAGGGGAGGCTTTTATGAGGCCTTTATTGCTCCGTATAGCATAGTGCAGGTCAAGCACTGCTAAGGGAATCAAAAGGAGAGAAGCGCTGCACCTTTCCATACCCCGTGTTGTTCCCTCACAGATAAAATAGACTGTAAAATTGCTTTATTGAGTGTAATGATGAGCCCTCAGGTGAAAGATGGGCGCAGACAGAGTGGTAGCGCTGTAGGCCTGAATGTTTCTCTCAGTGCCGCTAATTCTGTTTCGCCGTAGATCTAGGCCTTTTGCTGCATGTGCACTTAATGGCACTCCTGCTGACACCTTTTGCACTTCATACTGAATTTAGAGTGATTGGTAAAAGAAGCCAGATTAAGTGAACTCTCATTTTGCTATGAAGCTAATCAATATGACACTTTGCTTGTCAGTTAACACACAATATTAAGAAAACAAGAGTGTTCTCTGTGCTAACCCAGGCTTTTCTGTTAGCGCTGGCTTCCTTAAAGTGGCTGCCTCAGTTCAAAGAGCATGCTGATCACAATTAACCGAATCAGGTGTAGTTGTCATTCATGTCATACATTTTCAGCACATCCCAGACTTCACTGGGATGTCATCTCATTATTGGGAGGACCTTTCGATATGGCAGGCATGCTCTTCACAGCACTGAAGAGGCCTCATGTCTTTCTGAGAGGGGCATGGGTCTTCTGAAGCACATCACCTCATCAGGGAAGAAATGTGTCATGAGATGAAGGTGATCACCCCTGTATTGCTGGACGTGATGAGAATGGCCTTGACCTCTCAGGGGTGGTTGATTTAATGCTGGGAAAACTCAGCCTACACTAGTGCACAGTACTTGAAGAGTTAGCGGCTGCCTAAATGTTGATCACACTTTAGCCACTTAAAGCAGCTGACATAAGCCTGGAAACCTGTGTGACAGTAGACTTCTCAACTCAATAAAGGTCTGATCTAATCCTAACGGGACATATTGATTCTACATGCTGTACCACATTATATTAAACCATACAGTTCACTGACGGTGGTTTAACATTAGAAATATCAACAGAAGTAACATTTTCACAGAAACAACATACCTGTCATACTGATACTGTCCCAAAGTAGGATCATAAGGATAGTAGGCTGTCGCCTGGGTTATTCCTGCATGTGCAGAAGCTGTGGCATCTTTAGTATCAAATGTGCCCTGCAATCATACACAAAGACAAGAGTTATAAAGAGTAACACAAACAGGACATTTGTTTTGCTACATAAATGACTCACTTGGTGCTGAAAAAGTATAAAGATAGAAAGATTAGAAATAAGCTTTTAACAAAACAGGTTTATAAGCTTTGTCACCAAAGGGATCTGAGCAAATAAATCTGGGAAAGAGCTCCAGGAGAGTTTCCCTTTTTTTTTTTCAATTATTATAGAACAAATCATCAATTCCAAAAAGCATATAGCTTTTTAAATATTCTTCTCACCACAATTTTACCACAAATGTTTGCACTTAATGTATGTGAACACTAAACCAGCTGGAACAAACTGCATTCTTAGATTTTAGAGGCCTATATATTTCTGTTGGGGTCTCCTATACTTTAAGAATTCATTTTTAACAGCATTGTGATAATGTCATCAAAGTTTGTAAAAAATCAACTCATTTCCAACGTAAACCATTTGTCTCAGTATTAATGAAACAATTTATTTTTCTGCCTTGTTTCTTCAAAACTGTTTGTCTCAAAGCAAACTCTGACTCAAAAAATTGAGCCTATCTTGCCCTGCTGAGAAGTATTTTTCAATTACTAAAGAAACGTTGGCTCTAAGGGTGATGTGAGGATAGATCACCTACAGTAAAAGGTAGGTATTTTGCGGTGTGGAGCATAAAAAAGGAGGAGAGGTGCGCCTGGCTCAAGCGTCAGCACCCTGCGGCTCCATTAATCAATGCCAAGAAGGATCAGATGAAGGGCTTACCAGCGAGTAGAAAGCCGAGGCGTCCGTGCCGTATGTAACGTAATTCCCATAGCCTTGACCGCCAGTGTAGGGGCTCCCGTACACGCCCAGCGCGGCGGCTGAGCTGAGTTCATGCCTCGCCGTGGCCAGCAGCCGGCTCTCGTACACGGGACAGTAGACCGGTGTCTGCCCGGACGCCGCTACACCAGAGTCGGCTATGGATCTGCCGGTGGACTCGCAGCAAGTGGTCAGAGAGTTGGTTGTCATCAGGAACTGGGTGGAGACCGAGAGAGAATTGATCTTTTAAAAAAAGTTATTGGTATGCTTTCTTTGATTCTACATTGAAACTAAATCAAATATTACTCTTAAGCACTTTGATCTGGAAGTTAGTTTATAACTTTTATTTGTATTTTTTAATAAGAAAACAATCGTGTCAGTGAAATAAACACGATTATGTTTCAAACACTGTTTAAGTGTCCGAAAAATTAAATCTGTTAGTAAGTTTTTGACAATAGATGATTTTGCTCACATGAACTCGCACATTTTTTTTCTGCAGAATTTCAATCTATAAAAACTCAAATTCAACATCAAATGGCTTGGAAAGCTTGATATTTGATAAAGAATGATGCGTCATATTCTTGTGGTAATGTGCGCGTAAAACGTGTCCAAAAACGACTCGTCTGTTAGCTTTGCTCCAGATGAAACACATGCGTTACAAACAGACAAGACATGTTTTCCCAGCATCGCGCAGTAATACCAAAAGTAATGCCCAAATGATTTTTTATGGCTCAAAGCCAAAACAAAACAGCAGCCGTGTTATGGCGCAAAACACACACAGCGTGTGCAGAACAAGTTGCCATGTGTGTTCCAGCGCAGATAAACATATGGTTGACATTACAGAGCGGCTATTATCTTGCAGAAATCAGTGATCGGGAGGTCGGGGGTCTCGCTGTTTATGTTTTTGGTTATCCTCTTCTTACCCCTTTTCTACCGCTGCAGGAACACAGGTATCACTGTCTGTAACGCAATACCTTTCCGATATCCGAAAGGACTGTGACAGCTTCCCTGATTCTTGGCCAAAACGCGTAAAAGGATCACGCTTAAATCGATGAGACAATCAATCGCTGCGATATGAAAACCAAAACAACACATTAAATGAACAAAAGGCAGTTGCATGAACTTACTTGTGGAGCAGACGAATAGGGATATCCAAATTGTGGATATGACATGGTAGAGAGGTCCCCCAATATCCAGAAATAAAGCGAGACTGAAGGTCTCCACTCTAACGCAGGCTGCGGCTCTGTTTGACTGTACCAATTGATTGGTAAGCACAGGCTCCTAGGATGCTTATAGGGCGAAGCAGAGTAGCATGTTTAATTTGTGTAAAATGCCCCCCACTCGAACGCCTTTCAACGGGGAAAAAAATAAAAAAATAAAGTAAGAAAATCTTGTAGCGTTCCCTTTTCTTTCTTAAGACCCTTAGAAATAGATACATGCATTAAGGCGATGTAGACTTTCTTTGCCTAGAATAATCACTTTGTTGTCAGATACATATTTTTGCCTTATAAAAAAGTAGTATGAAAGACGTCAGCAGCAGAGGCAGGTTGTTTTAAACGGCGGCGACTCTGACGTCAGAAGTTTCCCACTCTAAAAATGACCAGACTGTAACTTTAATATGCATTTCCTTTCTCAGGATGACGACGACAACAGAAAGAAGAATCAAACAAGAAAATCTATGACAGGGTACATGGGGAGGGATAACTTAAAAAAAAAAAAAAAAAAAAAGATGTCCTGGAGATTCATTTGCTTTCCCAATCAATCAATTAGGCCAATCAATGTCTTGAATATGCAAACGTATGTATCAGTTTAAATGCATTAGGCCTAATTAAGCCCATTCTTATCATTCCTGCGCACTGATGCTAATCACACGGGGAACTAATTGATTTCAAATTAATTAGTAAAGAATATTTTCATACAGAGCAGAGAAACAAGTTTCAGCCCATCAGCAGTTTAAACAAATACGTTCACGAAAACAAATGCATTTCCAACATGAATTTATATACAGTACATTATATTATTCTTATCATTATTTCAAATTTAATTGCCAACTTAAAAACATATCATCATTTAGTTTCACATTATGCTCATCCACCTGGAGCAATGACTCCCTGGAGTGTTGTAATAATTACCCCAATGCTTCCCCAACAGTGCTTAATAGGATGTAGTTTGAATGAACTTTGCGCCTCTGCACGTGAACTTCACACTATTATTGGTGCAAACCCCGAGATGTGCTCAGAAATAAAAAAATCTATCTATCTATCTATCTATCTATCTATCTATCTATCTATCTATCTATCTATCTATCTATCTATCTATCTATCTATCTCAGCATCCCTCCCTTCCGTCCTGTATTTCACGCGTGTTTTGTTTCAGTGTAAAATGGTGAAACTAACCAAAACAGCCCAAAAAGCCCCAAACTCGCTCGCCGGGGCGCCGGTTGCTTGGAGAATCCCGGGTTGAGACATGTGGATAGCCCCGGGGGTCACTCCTCAAATTAATGATGATGTACTCCTCCTCCCTTCTCTCCCTCCTCCTTCTCCTCCTTCGCTCCTCTCCAGCTGGATCTCTGCCTGCCGGTGACAGGTCGATTGAGAGTGATTGATGACTATCTAGGGGACCGGGGCCAACATAATAATATGATACGGGCACCTTGCAATAATTGCTCGCTTTCATTTACAGATGAAAGAAGTAATAAACAGAAATAGGGACCGTGCGCGTCGGTTAAGTAGTCTAACTTTTGTCTTTCTTTTTCTCTGTTTTTATTTTGCGAAGGTGTGGTGGAGGGGCGGCAGGGTGGGCTGTATAAAAATGTCTGTTCTCTCTTTCATTTTGACAAATTGAATTATAGGGGGTTAGTACCTCCAAGCAAATGACCGCATTAACGCTGTGAACGGGGGGGTCAAAAGGGATCAGCCAGCGCTTTTTAATTTGCATTAACTCTAATGCCACCTTAACATTAACAACCCGTCTGAACCGCTCAACCATACACTCACTCTCACAGACGCACACACACACACACACACACACACACACACACACACACACACACACACACACACACACTTTTGTCTTATTAATTTAGACTTTTTCTTTTTTAAATTCATTGGGGTTAATGTGGCACGTAGTGCATTAAGGCAGGGCGGGACCCAATTTATCTTCAACATCACACCCTGTGGATGAAACAGAAAGTGTTGACACGTTGATTTTGGAGATGTGGGAGCGCACCTGACAGCACACACACACACAAACAGGCGCGCACTCATACACGCATACTTGGCATGCATTCTTCCATAGAGATATATTCTGTAATACTTTTCTTTATTGCCCTTTGCATCGACCTCTACCCCTGTGCGTATAGAATTAGGCTGGAGACAGTGGAAGCATCTGATCGACACATTCACTAAACTATACAGCCCACATACCCCCCCTGTATACCTTTTCATTATCCACTGCGTTATCCAGTGTTATCGGACGCCTATAATAAAATATTTAGGCGCACTAGTATATGCTTTTAGACGGAAAATGAAGGCGACGGCAGGAGTTCATGCTTGTTTAGCGTTAAAAGATTAAAACAGAAGCTTCTTCTTCTTCTTTTTTTCCTTTTTTTCTTGGACAGATGTGGGGAAGCAGAGATGCTCTGCATTTAAAACTGGAGCAAGTGAGGGATAAGATGCTATTCCAGTTCAGGACAAAGGAGCTTTGCTTATATGATCTCATTCCTTCCTTTTTTTGTTGTGAGATTAAACACAATGATCAACGAGTTATTATCAGTTCTAAATTATCCAGATTAATGAACAACCTGAAGATGATTTCACTGTATAGATTAGGACAGATAGCAGCGTTCAGCAGTGATCTAGTGTAGGAGCATCCATCATATTGATGAGTAGCATAAATCAACTGCTTCACTGGAATTAGACTAACTAATGGGGCAATTATGATTGTATCACAATTCAACTTTGGAGTCCTAAATGTAACCATAAAGATCTTCTTTGGTTTTATGTTCATTTAGTTAAGTATTCAAGCTTCTTTTTTAAATGTTTTATTTATTTATTTATTTATTTATTGCCAGATGGCATCAACCTCAAACTACTGTAATCTGAATAATAACTGTGTTGCACTTTGAGGTAAGCCTGCTAATTTGCATCTGCTTTCCAACTCAACTCATATTAAAAAGTTCCACAGAAACATTGTAATCATGAAGGTGTCACTTTCCTGATAATCTGTCGTTGATTAATGAGCCACAAGGAGGGGAGTGTGTGAGCGTGCCTCTGTGTGTGTGTGTGTAAGTAAGAAACACAAAGGGAGAGAGAGAAAGAGAGAGGTGAAAGGAGGAGGGTAAAACACTTCCTTTTCTCCCAAATTTGAGTCAGCTGAGTTTCAAGGGAGACAGGCTCCAATACAAAGGTCATCTGTGTCTGCTCAATCTTTCATGGCATGGGTGATGTTAAATGCAGCTGGATATTTTTGTGTTTTATGTTGAACAACATTGTTTCTTAGGTTGCTTGTGAATTAACACATTTATTGACACTGACCATGGGTATTATGGTAATCCCATCTCAGAACACTTAAATTTGAATGAACCATATGTAAGAATTTTGTGTTCTGATGATTAACAAATTGAAAAATTTGACTTGAATCAACTTGATTTACACACAGTAGTCTGTCCATCTCTTCAACAACAGAAATCACTGAAATCTGCACAGTCTGAATCTACAACATTTAAAGAATACCCTCCTGAAAATTAAGTTTAATCCCTTTTTTCACATATTTAACTTGTCTCATTTGTGATTCTTTACTAGTAAAGATATCATAACATACTGTATATCAATTACAGTTAATAGCCTTTACCACAAAAGTCCAGAGTTAGCGACCCTATACATAATATATAATATAAAATAGGTAATAATCAGTTTATACAGTGATGTGGTGGAGTTACAGACTAGAGCTGCTGGAATATCACGTCCCTGATTGGAGTCACATGTCAGTTATCATTTTTATAAATAAATAATAATAATTATAATTTTAAAAAAATGAAATGAGAAACAGTTTGTCTGATTCTGGTCAGTATGATACATATTTGTGAACATAAGTAACTTTTGAGTCAAAGTATGAAACAACCATAGTCTGCAACTTAGGGATGCTGACAGCAACCTGTTAGATCGCTTGGGTTATTCATAATCTTTATAACATTTATTTTGAACTCCAAATCAATCGTATCAAACTACTTTTTACACAAAAAACAAAAACAAAAACACAACACTTTTAAAAATAGGGATTGTTTTTTTGTGTTGGCAACACTTCTGTCTTTTGAGTAGGGGAGAGTTGTTCTTGCCTTGAGCTAAATTTGTGCTCAAGGTAGCTTTGAGTGAGCAGTTTATTTTCACAGATTCAGATTGGAGTGGCTTAAGATCACAGGCAAAATGTGTGAATTTCGCTCTGAGTTTTGGACAGTACTGAGGGTTGAGTGAGCACTGAGACTGGGAACTTGCCTCAATCAAGTGCGGTTCAGTGATAGTGCTGATGTTGACCTCTGCCGTGTTCAAACTCCCCAATGTGGGTTAGAAGCAGGTGAAAGAAGAACTCAGTTTGTTGACTTCTTCAAAATGTTGTTTTGTATCTCCTCATCTCTCATTCTGTCAGTTTTGAATCTTATCCTCTGTCATATTAATTAAAAAGTTCATGTTTAGCCAAAATTGTCAGCTTATAACCTTCTGCTCAGTTCTGCTGTTTTGTTACATAAATATGAGTTCTGTTCATTCCAAATGTATTGTATTTCAGCCTGTGTGAGGATAATGTTCCAGCGCTGATGTCTTATGGTCCACTGTCTCAGGTGCTGTTTTTTGAGTCAACAATGTATAAACCCAAGTTGACCTCAATAGTTGAAGACAGCTACACAGGCCGACTTGCTCTGTGACATGAAGCCCGGAGCAGCTCCCAGGCTTTCCAATGGCTACCATGTTTCTTTTTCAGCAGTCATAGAAATAATGTCCAAGCATTTGTGCACACACACACACA